AAGTTGTCTTCACAAAAATTGTAGCATTATTTCTTACCTTTTATATGAGTACCAGATTCATATTTTTATCATGACTGTAGCTCGAGTTATCCTCAAAATACAGCCATCATGTTTGAATGTCTTTGACTGCACCCTTATGTGAATGTTTGTTGATTTATCATGTGGATAATGACCTAGTCTGATTTTAAGTTGTTCTTGATAGTTGTAGATATATGTCTTAGGAATCACATGCCACTGGTTTCATGTTATTTCGACTTATGTGCTGCTAGATTCATTTGAAAATCGCTGCGCATATAGTGTTTTAAAAAATCATTAGTTTGATTTCAAAAATGGCACGCACCATCAAAATGCTCGATTATATGACCTAAGTGATTTATTTCTTGATTCATGTAGATTGTTTAATCCTTAAATGTCCTTAGAGTTAAAAGTTAAGCAAGCCAAGATATCCACCAACCGAAAGGACTTAAACATAGAATGTTTTCAAAGTATATATATATATGTATAAGACTAGCGAGTAGCAGTAAAGCCTTGATAAGATTCTAAGACAATTCCCATCGAATACAGGTAATTGAGGAGTCAAGCCTCGACCTGCGCCCTTTGCTTGTCGAATTATTTCAGTTCGGAAATCCAGGTGGGTACATTTGTGTTGTATCCATAATTATCGCACTTATTATTTCGTATAAATGTTTCGTTTAAAAATTGTTGTATGCGTGAGAACCCTAGTCTAAGTGTCCCGTTTGGTAGTGCCTTTGACGAATGCATAAACAGTGAGAGGTCGTCGGCCCGTAGTCGATTCAGTGAGGTGACGCCCCAGTCCGTATGATATTCGTGAAAGGGAAAAACAGCTCTACTGTCTCCTGGAAAGGATCCTAGGCCCGTAGCCATTCGGTGATGGGAATGTTTCCAGTTACTTCCTTTCCGTTGTATCCGGAAGGTTGTTGTATGTACATAAGAGGTTTGCGATAGGGCCAAGTAGGGAGTTAGACTTTAGATTCTTTGCATACTGTTTATGGTGATACTGATTTAAAATCTTTTATACGGGATAACTGTGTGATAATAGGTGAACTTGTTGATTATGCTCAGCCCCATTATTTTTCTGTTGTTGTCTTCTCTTCCTTTCTTTAGGTTGAGATGAGCTGGATGCGATGGTGTGAAGACGTGCGAGATGGTGGTCATAAATGGATGTGTCTTTTGCTTCCGCTTATTTTTATTTATGATGAACTATTTGCTTTTAACTTGGATTATTTATGCTTCCGCTTGAAACCATGATTATGTTGGATAAACCATGGATTTATGTTAAACTCTTGGATGATGTTGAGACTTATGAATACGGTGGTTTACTCGTATAAATGTTGGCTTATGCATGTGAAGGATTTATCTATTTGTCGTAATTGTCTAATTGATGTCGATAGTTAAGTAGCGCTCGTTGAGTTTTAAAGTTTAAATTGAATTTTCAAGAAAAAAAAAAAATTAACTCTGATTTTAGTATATAAATTCGGTAAAATCTTTTAAATAAAACGGGGCGTTATAGGAACCCTCTGATGCTTCTCTTCGTGAACGTAGATTTGATATTCAAATTTAGATTTAACAATTGTATCTCCTTTGAGATTGATGAGGAATTTCTCTACCATTAATTTGGGAGTTGAATTACTTATTCCCGTATTAAATATTAGGACTTGACTTGATTGAAGACGTCTTCTTGACGGTCTCTCTTCTTTGATCCTTACTAGTGTGCGATCATGTGCACATGCACAGATGCAAATAACTTTTTATATGTTATATGTGTGTGTGCAATATTTAACATTATAATATAGATAATGAGCATGTCACAATTTATATTTATCAGTATTAAAAATAAACGATATAAAAATAGACTATTTAACTAGTTGATCATATCACTAATTTATTATTTTTTATTTTATGTTTAATAAAATATAATTGTATAATTCTTTTACACATTTTCATAACATATATAAAAGAAAGTTCCGAAAGTAAAAAAACTGATTTTTTATTAAATTAAATCGGTCCAATTAAACTTGCAAATATATGATTTCAAAGAATTAAAAAATAAAATAAAACAAAATATACTTAAGTGTGTGAGAAAAGCAAGTCACCAAAATTATGTAAAAATATTAGAAATTTCATTGCATATAAAATTTGAATAATATTGATTGTAACATTTAGATAAAACTGGAATAAAGTGCAGAAAAACACAATATTATGATAGATTTTGTAACGTCTTTTAGAAGAAAAACAAAAAAAGGTTTTATTAATTGCTTTGCTAGCTATTATATAGATATAGATTGGAGAGGGACTTAGACTTAAATGTCTCGGATGTTCAAGAACACTTTGGATCTTCAAGAGAATTATTGAGAGCTCTTGAACTTAAGACTTTGATTTATGAGTTGTTTTTAGAAGAAAACATCATTTTGATTGATCCTTCATTATTTGATATAATCTTTCTTTATCTTAAGATTTGACTTGGCAAGAAATATTTATTTTATTAATGAAATATCTTATTTATACTCGTATCAAGGAGTTCTTCATTTGACTTGATTTATAGATAGTTTATACTCGTATCAAGGAGTCTTGTTTTGATTTGACAGATAGTTTATGCTCGTATCAAGGAGTTCTTTGTTTGATTGATTTATAGATAATTTCTACTCATATCAAGGAGTCTTGTTTTGTAGAAATTTTATGCTCTTGTCAATGAGTTTTTATATTTGATTTGATTTGAAAACAGTCTATACTCATGTCAAAAGAGTTCGTCATTTTATTTGATTTGAAGACAATTTATACTCGTAAAAAGAGTTTTTCATTGATTTAACTTTTTATGCTCGTATCAAGGAACCTTCAAATTTGCAGACATTTTATGCTCGTGTTAAGGAGTCTTCGAATTTGTAGACATTTTATGCCCATGTCAATAAGCTTTGTAAATAATTGAAGATCATATCAAAGAACATCGTAGATAGTTTAGGCTTGTTTCAAGGAGCATTATATGTAGTTTAAACTTGTATCAAGGAGCATTTTAGATAGTTTAGCCTCGTTCAAGTAGTGTTTAAATTTGTAGATAGTTTATACTTCTATCAAGGAACATTTGATTTGGTTGATAGTTTTTGCTCATATCGAGCAACTTTATAGATAGTTTAAGCTCATATCATGGATCATTTGAATTTGATTTGACGAACTCTTCATGTAAATTGCACCCATGGAAATTGTATTAAGAAGGACATGTAGAGCCTCTATTGTATGCCTCTATTCGGATGAATTTGATGAAATCAACGATTTTCGGTGGCTTCATGGCTTGAAATGATGTCATCCTTAGTTGCCCCCTTGTACATTTTCTTTAAAGAGGTCTTCATGCATCTTCAAAGATTTTGAACATAATTCGAAGAGAAGAGATGAGTGGTAGAGATTGTCCCGCTGGGCATTCCAATGTAACAATAATTTTATGATAAAACATAAAACTATTGCACAACTTAGTTTTATTTTGATCAAACGATATGTGGGTACAATCTTTATATAAAACCCTCTGATTCTTCTTTGTGTGGACTTAGATTTGATCTTCAAATTTGGATTTAACAATTGGATTTCCTTTGGGCATGAGCTTGAACTTTTCTAGTGTTAATTTGGGGATCGAGTGATTTATTCCCGTATTAAATGTTAGCACCTGATTTGATTGAAGACGATTTCCTGACGGTCTTTCTTCCTTAATCCTTCTTGGAAGGGGACTTAGACTCAAACGTTGATCTTCAACTTGAATGTCTAGATTTTCACAAGAATTATTGAGAGAAACTCGAGACTTTGATTTATGAAGTGTGTTTTTTTCTCGTTAAAGAGAGCTTCTATTTATAAGTGTAGGAAAGAGAGCTCCTGTTAAGCTCCGATTTATAGTTCAATATTATAAATATAACTAAATTATATCAATCAATCTTCCTCACACATTATCACATCAGTCATAATTCACTGTGATATGAGATGTTATACCTAAAGGAGTAAACCGACTCACTCAACCAGTTTAACGAGTCAAGAAAACTGAACAGGCTGGCTCGATCGAGCAGAATCGAGCAGGATGATCGTGGTCGAACAACACGAGAACGATTTATAGAGGATTCCGATACGAGGAGAACAGGTCGGTCCCAGCTCCATGGAGGACCTGGTCGAAGATCGACCTGTCGAACAAATTGTCGTTTGATCGACCACTTCATAGACTAAGAGCAGTCCGAGGATTGACGTAGATTTGGTCGAACACTAGAGCCTTCGAGGAGATCTCAGGGGAATTAAACCCCCATGTGCAACCCGATTGGTCCCCACTGAATAACCGTCTCTGACACACGCACACTATGTGTGTACGAACGGGCAGGCCCGACAGTTTTGGACAGCCAGCTCAGCTCAACCGCAGCCTCTAGAAACAGGTGTTTCACCCCTATATATATGTGGGTGAGCCTTATGATTTTAGCACGATTTATCCCTTCTTAGTTTGGAGAATTGAGTAAAGCTTATACTGACTTAAGCATCAGAGACTCTTCACCGGAAACCCCTCCGGTGTGAGAGTTATTTGCAGGTACTCAACGTTCAACCGGCGAAGTGATGGTTCAAGTTAACTGTTTCCAACCAGTATGAGGTTTTGATGTACGACACTGTTCATTCACATAATATTAACTATCTATCTTCAATAACATCTCCTACTTTTACATTTTATTACATTTAATCATTATATTTTTATATTATTTAAATACAAATTCAGAATTTAGTCAATCAATTTTGTCAATCTTATCTCACTCTATGTTATCTCATAAATTCAGTCAAAACCAAACTTTTTTATAACCAATCACCAACTTAGTACATTAAATCCCGTACAAATAACTATTAATGACATTGGTACTGTGGTACTGTCATGGGCCATAGGCCACTTGCCAATCCTCTCAAATTCAGGCCAATTAAAGTAAGTTAAGCTGAAAAGTTAAAAAAGCTAAAATATTCCATTTAAATAATGCCCACTGATCTGTCATCTTGATTCTCGTCATCAATTATTCACTCAATTTTTTTTTTTTTAGCTTTGATCTCAACAGTTGCAGACAGCACAACCAAACACAATATGGTTACTCGCTAGCTGCATTAAATTACATGTATTCCTCTCAACAACTTGCCCTCACCTGCTACTGAGAACTCTACTCCATTATTATTACCCAATATATCTTGCAGTTTTCAAGAAAAAACACCATGTGCCTAAACTCATATTATACTCCCTCACCCATCCACCCTTCACAATTCCCACAAAAAAACCCCACACTTGTTTAATCAAACCTTGTCTTTCCACTTTTGTTGTTTGTCTTAAATAATCTTCACTGGGATTTTTTTGGGTGTCCTTCATTGATTCTCTGTTGTTCATCTGTACTGTTCTTAATGTTTTTGGAAATCTTGATTTCCATTTCTATTTTTTAGGTGGAAAAAGAGAATATAATAGCATAAACCCCCCAAAAAAAAGAAAAATAATCATCTCCATGGCAATAATAATATCAAGATTCTTTGTCATACTCTGTTCATCATGGAGCCTTTTCTTGATCTGGGGCACACATCAGCTCCAATCCTCTCAAACCCAGCTGCTTTTGCAGGTGAGAAAGCATTTGGAGTACCCAAAACAGCTAGACAACTGGGTTGTTCCTCGGACCGATCTCTGTTTTCAGTCCTCCCCACAAGTGAACATCACATGCCAAGACAACATCGTCTCCCAGGTCACAATACTCGGCGATTCTCCAAAAATCCTATCCAAAAATTTCTCCATCGACTCACTCGTTGTGACCCTGTCGAGGCTAAACACCTTAAAATCTCTGAGTTTGGTGTCCCTAGGAATCTGGGGCTCGCTTCCCGATAAAATCCACAGGCTTCAATCTCTCGAATACCTCGATTTGAGCTGGAATTACCTCTACGGCTCCATCCCCCAAACCCTCTCAAGAATCACGACTCTTCGCGTTCTCAAAATGGACGGGAATTCGTTAAACGCCACTTTTCCCAGCTCATTTCCGAATCTGACGAGCCTAAGTTTGAGACAAAACATGTTCGCCGGCCCCTTACCGTCCGAATTGACCAAACTAACCTCGTTGACCGACATTAACCTGTCGAAAAACTCGATCTCTGGCGAATTGCCCGATCTCAGCAGCTTATCCGGTCTACAATGGCTCGATTTGAGCCACAACGAGTTGAACTCGGTACTTCCGAGCATGCCGAGGGGCGTGACCGTAATTTTGATGAAAAACAACTCCTTGTTCGGGAAAATCCCCGATCAATACGCTGAGCTGGACCACCTTCAGCAGCTTGACCTCTCGTCAAATGCGTTGACTGGCTCGATTCCAGCTCGACTGACTTGCAGTGGCAAGCTCCAGTTGGTGGATATCTCGAACAACAGGCTGACTGGGCCCCTGCCAGCCTGTCTTAACTCGAACGCGAAAAATAAGGTTGTTAGATTTGGCGGGAACTGTTTGTCGGCCGATCAGAAGCACCAGCAGCATCTGGAGGCATACTGTGTGGAGAGTATTCGGAAAAAGAATGAAGCTGAAGGGAAGAGTAATAGTAATAATAGTAACCATTTGGGAGTATTGACGGGAATCGTTTGTGGAGTTGGTTTGGTTGTGATGGGATTAGGGGTTGGATTTTTGGTGCTGTGCAGACGATATTGCCCTCGGGGGACTTCAGAGCAGCACTTGCTGTCGAATTTGGTGAACGAAAGCTCGGTTACAGGGTTCACGTCCGAGATTTTAGCCGATGCCAGTATGTTCTGTTTCTTCTCTCTGTCTAACTCAAACTTGATGAGCCTTTTCTGATATTCTTTATTATTATTATTATATTATTTTTTTTGTGGGGTGTTTCAGGGTTTATATCTGATGCAGAGAAGATGGAGAAGCAGGTATTTCCAGCTCATCGCCCGTTTTCGCTGGATGAGCTGAAGGCGGCTACGATTAACTTTGACAAGTTTGCTTTGATGGGCGAGGGCTCGACCGGGAAGGTGAAGAAATTTCATGTTTTTCTTTTTTTTATTATTCGGTTTTATTTTTCTGTGGCTAGTTTGTAATCTAAATCATGGTGAATAAATTTAATTAAGCCATGTGAATTTGGTGTTAGATATACAAAGGAAGACTAGAGAGTGGGGCCCAGGTGGCAGTACGGTGCTTGACCGTGTCGAGAAAATATACAATCAGAAATCTGAAGCTTCGACTCGACTTGTTGGCGAAGCTTCGTCATCCGCATTTGGTTTGCCTCTTGGGACACTGCATGGAGAGTGACTGTAAACTCGAGTTTAACGGTGACAACAGAGTTTATCTAATTTATGAATACATACCCAGTGGCAGTTATCGAGCTCACCTTAATGGTGAGTAAAAGTCTCCTATTAGAATGTTATTAGTTCTGACTATCTCCCATTAAAAAACCCGAAAACTAAAGCATAGCATCTTTTGTTTACAGTCCAATAGTGTTGAAAGATACACTGTATAAGCCTTTCCTTGTGTGTTCAAGAATTGATGTTTTTCTTCTCAGAAACTAATTCAGAGAAGGTGCTGAAATGGTCTGATAGACTGGGCATTCTAATCGGCATTGCAAAGGCTGTTCATTTTCTGCACACCGGAATAATTCCTGGTTTCTACACCAACCGATTGAAGTCGAGCAATATATTGTTAAATGAGCAGCGGATAGGAAAACTGAGTGATTACGGGTTGTCAGTTGTGGCTCAAGAGATTCACAAGGACAAGGTATCTATCAACTCTTTGTGCATTGTCTATTAAAATACTCTATGTTGCACTCCACTGACAAATCTTTCTTGGTTTCTTGGTTGCTAGGAAGAAGATGGCCTTAAATCATGGTAAGATAACTCTCAGGATAACAATTTTTCATCGTCCCATTTTACAGGCATTTTTTTTTTTTTTCTTCTTTTAATTTTTGCTATCTCAAAGGTTAAGATGTTGCTCTGTCTGTTTAAATTTGTAGGCAAATGAAAAGCCTAGATGATGACATTTACAGCTTTGGGCTTATATTACTCGAGTCGCTTGTGGGGCCGTCGGTTCTTGCAAAGACGGAGTCTTTTATGCTCAGTGAGATGGTATTTCAGAGAAAATTTGTATCCTTCATGAGTTCATTCTCTTCTTAAGCATTCATTCATCTTTTGATAAATTGGGTGGTGCACTTGTAACTTAACTCCTCTCTACAAATTTTTGCAGGTTTCTTTAAGCAATCCGGATAGCCAGATGCGAGTAGTCGACCCGAATGTGCTGGCATCTTGCTCCCGAGAATCACTTGCAATCGTTATATCTCTAACAATCAATTGCATTTCACGCGAGTCGTCAAATCGGCCATCTTTCGAGGATGTTATATGGAACTTGCAGTATGCAGCTCAAGTTCAGGCTACTTCGGAAGGGAGACCTGCAAAGACACATCTATCCCCATAACTTTTTCCTCATATGTAATTGTGTATAAGTGAGTTTGATTGCATAATATGGATATTTGTATCTTAATTCTTGAGATACATCAGCTTGGTGTAAAAATGTGTCTTGACTCTTGACAAATTGCTAACTATAACGGTCTTAACTCCATTTTAAAACCGCATTTTGCTCCATTTCCAGCTTGACTAGATATCTTAAGTGGTTGTTGCTATATAGAAACATCTTATTAAGACAACATTTTTCTGCAAGCATCCACAATGCAATTTTACAACCATGAAATAAAATACTTGTCGTTTGAAAAAATAAAAAAAGAAATCAAATACTAGTGTAATATGTACATAGTACTTTTTGGTAAGTACCAAACCAAAATAAAACAACAAACCATATTGAAAGAAGGAAAATAAATAAAACATAAATCACTAGTTAAATTTTGACAATACATCTATTTTCACTAAACAAACAAATGAGAGGATGTAGGGGATAAAACTTATAAAGCACTCAAATTGTTTAATTTAATCTCAATCTTGAATTCTCTAATAGACAAACAAAGTCATAATGTTGGTGTGAGAATAATTGATTTTATACCAATTTTACGTTCCCATTTTCGTAAATCGAAGACTTAGAAAAGATTAATCTTGAATACCATTATAGGGTGAAAATGAAATTAATTCTAAAATTGAAGGTGGGAAGATTGAGTTTTTTTTTTTTAATTCATAATTGTGTTTTAAGTAGCTCAAAAGTTGGTTAAAATAACAATAATAAAAGGACAAGTTCAGTTAGAAATTTTGTCCAACGATAAAGCCTGTCGTGAGCAGACGAGCCTGCAACCTCGACGCACCTGTTGGGTCCGAATGGTTTTCGACTTTGTTTCACTTGCATATTTCCGCACCGAGCATGCCCCCATAAGGGTTCTTTTGATCCTTAAGCCTCCCGGTGGTGTCCTCCTATATCTCTAAATACCCCTAGGACTTGAAATATTTGACATAAAAATAGGAAATTGAGATAGAACATAAGATAGTCATGTCCATCTAGTGTTCATAAGTGCCACTATACATACGATAAAAGTTGTTGTGTCTTAAAAATGTTAGTGAAAAACTATGGGTTTTAAGCGGTGGAAATTTTTTCTTACAGAGAGCAGGTTTCACATGTCTGGAGTTTATTTATTTGTTTGGATTCTTTGTTGGAGCTTGTTGGAGGTTTGTGTTCTTGATTCTTGTTCGTTGTGTAAACGATTCGTCCGTCGTTATTCTTCGTTCTTGTTATTTTTGTCATTTCCCGAAAGACTTATAAAAACATGTATTCAAAAATCATAAGACTAAAACTATGTACGTTTTCTGAATATGGTTAGCAAAAACACCCATGCTAGTTCATGGGTAACCATTTATGAACAAAGTGAGAAGCCACCAAAATTTACTTGCACCACCTTCAAGCAAAATTTACTTGCACCACCTTCAAGTGGTGGCAACAAAATGTGTTATATTATATTAGGGAAATGCTACGGAACCATCCCTTCGAATGTTTTAACTGTTGGATACACATTAGTTAGTATAAGATAGATGATCTAACGATTGAAACACCCGACGGGATGGTTCCGTAACGGGACCATAGCATTTTTCATTATCTTATCACCCTTTCTCTTTATCCTTTTATCATGGAAGACCCTCCGATTGTCTATGAGGAAGATGAAAATACGCAAAGGTGTATGGAGTTTGATGTTTAGCATTATCATAATTTTTTGTGTACAAATTCATATTTATTGGAAAAGATGACACATTATATAACGTATATATCACGGGAAAGACATCCAAGGAATTGTAAAGCTCTTTAAAAATAAAGTACAAAACAAAAGACAACGAAATTAAGAAATTTCTTGTCAATAAATTCCTTTGTATTTGTATCATATACTCTACATATACTAAAATAGTTTATTAGAATAATGATTATGATCAATTTATGGCAAGTATATGACATGTTATATACTGAACCAAAATTCAAACATTACAATTGTGTTTAGATAAAAATATTATGTAAATAAAAAACACCACATATACTGAATATATACAGACTATAAACGCGATATATATATCCCATTCAAGACACTTGAGAGCTGAAAAAAATTACTTACTATAAACGCAACATATAATTCGTTTTAGCTGCAATTTTTGCGAAAAAAAAAAAA